CGGAAAAAATCCCCATGCTATCAATATCAATAACATCCAATTATTAATTGGATTCTATCCCATAACCAAAAGTCTAAGCTACTTGGCCCATAACCAGGGTAAAATAACATTTACCCTTTATCTAACTTGGCCCTAGACAAGGCCCAACTCAACTATTCAAAAGTCCCAAATCCTAAATGGCAACCCAAAGCCCAATTTATGGCCCAATCTTCCAAATTGGGCCCAAAACCCATTATAAGCCTAAATCCAAGGAAGCCCAACATGCTAACCCCAAGTCCAAAACAGAAGCCTAATGGCCCAACCATGCCCAAACATACAAATCCAAACTATGGCCCAATACCGAGAACATCAGGCCCAAAAGCCCATCTGTTGAGTACACGGGGCGTACTCACCTCGTACGCTTATCGTACTCCTTCTGGGGCTAGTATGTGCAACATACCAGCTGGGTACGCCCAACGTACTCCCCGGTTTGCCACCCTGCTCCATTAAGCACTTAATCGGTTGAGACTTCAAGCCAAACTCTCAAATTTGATCCTAAAGGGGGACTTATCACGTAAAGTTGGCAACTTTACACTCATGCATGGCTTAATGGGACTCAAAAAGCTCAAAAAGAGCTTAAGAAAGGTCTTAATACTTGCATGGACTAAAAACATCCATAAAGTTTGCATTTTTAGGAACATAGGGCCTAAATGGATCTAAGATCTAGCATCCATTACTTCTGGAGTAGATCAAAAGCTCATCTTTACTTCAAAAGACTCAAAAATGCCCAAGAAACACCATAAAGAAGATTTAACATAAATTACCATCAAGGTATGAGCGTTTTACCTCAAAAGATTGCAAATGAGAAGGTAATCCTAGATCTACAAGCTCAAGCCACTCCTCCAAGTGTTTATCTTCTTCGTTTTCACCACAAAACACCAACAGATTACCCTTGATTGTACGTCACATCTAACAATATAGTACTTGAAAATAATTTTAGAATTGGAAGTCCTTTTTAATTTTAGTCATTATCTTGTTTGCTATTCATTTATGAAGTTTCATTTGAAATTAACAAAACCCCCTTTCCAACGATTGATCTTATATCGTGTGAAAATATGGTTAAATAATTAGTGTCGTGTCTCAGTGGTTCGACCCATTTACTATATTCTATTTCTTAGTATATTGTAGCAATGACTTTTGTGTTATTCACATCCATTTTATTTGTTGGTTTGAAACCCAAACAAATATCCAATAGAGAAAACATCACAACTCCTTCTACCTTACCTCAAAAGACAAACCATTTTTTTCATTGGAAACTACACATTAAAAGCTTTCCAAGCATAAAAATACACTATTTTTTGGACTTCTGTATTGTTCCAAACTTTTTGTTGAAGTTGGTTTAATTTTTTTTAGACCACCGAACATTTTTTTTGTATACCGGATATCCTGTGGTAAACATCATAACTCTCTCTACAAAACTCTAAAAAAATACCTTTTCTTTCCATTGGAAACTAAGCAAGTAGAGGTTTTCAAGAATATAAAGTACATGATTTTTAGTCTTCTATAGTGTTATATACTTCTTGTTGAAGTTGGTCCAAAAAACACACACATCTTTTATTGATGAATCCAAACAAAATCTTAACTATTCATGGGACCTAAAATACCAAAAGACTTCATGAATAACTTAAAAACATCAAATATTTCACTACACGCATATGAAATCTCAAGAAGCTTGAGAAACCTAAAAGCTTGGTCAAATTCGACAATATTCTATCTACTAGACAAACGACATAACATCCTCTACAAAATCCTAAAAGCCCTGTTATTTTTTCATTGGAAACTACACTTCCAAAACTTTCCAAACATATAAGATTCACTATTTGGTTACTTCTATATTGTTCCAGACTTCTTGTTGAAGTTGATAAAAAACACATAATTTGGAGAGAAAAAACGATCTTTATTAAAAATTAATGATGCTAAACAAAAACCTCAACTAATAGATGTATTTATAGAACATCTACATGGACTTTGTTATATAACCTGTTTTTTTATTTTTTATTTTTTTATTTTATTATTATTATTTTTATTTATGTGAACAACCTCTTTAACCTTAAAATAGATGTATGGATTAATTTTATGCAATTAATTCTCTTTCCACAAGTGAACAACCTCTTTAACCTTAGAATACACACATGACTTAATGTGTGTATATATATATATATATATATATATATATATATATATATATATATATATATATATATATATATATATATATATATATAACCGTTTGTGCTTAAAAGGTATATGTTAGTGAAATAATGTGACATCATATCATCTTTTGCGATACTAAGAGACTATCTTTTCATCTTGTTAAATGTAATTTGAGGATTTACCACCCAAATGGATAATTCGAGCACAGTGAAGAAGCCGAGGGACAAGGGGATAAGTGTTGGAGTAGGTCGAGGGATGTTAGGCCCCAAGCCGTTGGACATGCATTCATATGTGTAGATGGGCTTAACTCACCTATAAATACATGTTGAGCCTCATATTAACTCTCCAAAAGAGCCATTATGGAGAGAGGGGATACTTCAACGTATATAACCATTTATAAGACCGTGTTACACTGATATGAAATACACTATCACTCCCGTTCAGAGTCAGAGGTTCAATGAGGACTGACATGGATGTGTTGAGCCACGAGGGTGTGGGATGCCGACTCTGATACCATGTAAATATACGTGGAACCTCACATTAACTGTCCAAAAGAGCCCTCATGAGAGAGGGAAGACTTCAACATATGTAACCTCTTATAAGACCGTGTCATACTATATGAGATACTGTAACAACGTCTGTTCGAGTAGTGTATTGTACTTTGTCTAAATAATACAACTGATAAATAGGGTATTATTGCAATATCGTTTTCAAGCTCGTTGATAAGAATACTCCCTTCTTATTTTGTAAACGTATGTCACATTGACGAAACCATGTTACATACTCTATCTTTATATGTATTTAGTTCTCGTTTATTCCTGACAGTTGTTCATATGCTAGTTAGCTCTCTAGAATACATAACAATTAGGTCAAATAACATTTTAACTTTTACTTATTACCTTGGAGCAAACCCATGTTGAAAATTGATGCATACATTAGCGTAACCAAATTAGATGCGTACATTAAAGTTAACCAAAATTTGGTGTAAACTTATTTAAAAAAAGAGAAATTAAAAACCTCCTACATTTTATTCATACTATCCTCCTACCCACATCAAATGGTGACAAGTGGATTAAAATTAAATCAATTTCATTAAATGTGACACATGTCAACATTTGATATGGTAGGAAGATAAGTAGAGATAAAATATAGGAGGATATTTAATTTCTCTTAAAAAAAACATTTTTTACATCAAATTTGGGGTAACATTTGATATATACAATGGAGATACTCTCTCACGCACTTACCTTGTTATTAAAACATAGGTGAAAAACCACAACATATTCATCAAAACAATTGTGGATGTACGAATTAAAAAAGTCGTTAGTAAATAATCGGGATGGATTACAAAAGGATCAAAATATGCTTTTTTTTTTTCCTCCCACCGCAAAACCGGGTAACCATGTAAATAAAAGTTTTTATTAGGCCAAAAAAATGTTAAATAACTAAATCGGTAAAACAATAAAAAATACATCCTAATTTTCTTATATTTTCTTGTGAAATGTACTAAATGAATAGAAATCAAACATTAGAACGATCTTAACTTTGCTTTCTAAGTGTGTTTATATACTTTATAAATGTTTTCAACAGTTTCTTTCTATATCAAACTTGATAGACAACAATAATAATTTTTTGAGAATTATATTCAATAGAAACAAAGCTCTTCCTTAAAATCTCAGCGACCCTATGTTATAATAATTGAACTTGAATTTTATTAAATTGATTTTATATTTTGCTTATCTGAAAATTCCTTTTTTTGCCGCAGATTGTTTGGTCAATCCGGCCCGGATTTGCCAATATATTTTAGACTAGTTTATACAAGGATGAATTATTGAAGATTTATGCACCACAGGAACCATACCCGAACATTAATTTATACAATGTGGGGTCGTCCTTCTTGAAAAGAAGCCATCATGCATTCATGTTGTGTGTAAGGTGACTAAGCTCAAAGTACGTACATAATCATATTTTAAACGTGTGAATTAAAATCAACTCCAGAATTGCATTATATATGTTGGAACTTTGCTTAACAATGTGGGACTTATCCCACATTGGTGGAAGAGAAAACTTTCTCCCACCTTATATGTTTTGTCCCACTCATTTAATTAAATGGGTTAAGCATATTGGGCTTGGGTTGTGGTGTTGGATTAGCCTAATTGGACTTAAAAATAGGCTAATATCAAGAGAATATTTAACGGTCAAAAGATGGGCTTGGGGCTGGGGCTCTTGAGGTCTTCCTGATTAATTAAATAATTTTTAATTACGAAATTATTTTTTATTCTTTATTTTCATTAAATTCGTAATCACTGAATGACAGGTATTTGGAAGTTATTTTCGGTTTTGACAGTTTTTAACTGTCATAATCAATACCTATAAATACATGATTTCTGTCATTTGTGAGGGGTTACAGAAACAATCACCACAAACTCTCTTCAAAATTCGTTCTTCCTGAAGATGAAGGGGACATAGAAATTTCGACAGATTCAAGAGTACTTCTTGGATTGATTGTTGTATCCTCTAGACAGATCCCTACCAGGGAAATTTCTGTCTTAGGACACTGCAATTTGCAGGCCTCAATCTACATAATTTCGTTTTTTGTGTTTATGTTGTAAACATAAATCTTCAAGTATGTTTTCTGTAAACTGATTCTTGTATATTACATATATATATATTTCAATTTCGTTTGTTTTATTTCTATTGCTCTTGTTGATTGTATACTTCTGTCATAACAATATATGCATTTAACGTTAGCCACTACTTACTATAGCTAGCTTCAAATCTTAATTAAAATGGCATGCAATATCCCAATGGTATCTTTCCCTTGTGTGAGAAAAGTGATACCTGCAGGCCTCGAGCCATTGACTTTGAACACAAACCTAAATTTCAGAAGTACATCTTTTACAAAGAAACAGAATAGTCATGTGGTGCAAGAGAAAACTCCCACTCCAGGAAAGTTTGGAAGCTTCGGTGGGAAGTTTGTACCCGAAATCCTGATCGCCCCCTTAGAGAAACTTGAAGCTATATTCAACTCCATTTTGAAGGATCATGAGTTTAAGGTTAGTCACCGAATCTTTTTTCAAGCAATCTTTAGCCACGATTAAATTTGAAGGCGAAGCCACGTATATGCCAATTAGTTGGAAAGTATTATGGGTATGAATTGGGTTAAGATTGGTAATATGTTGACATAGATCTTTAAATTAAATCTTGTGTTTTAGATCATTTCGTTTAAAGTGTTGGATCAGAGTGGAATTTTTTCTGAATAATGATTCTTATATTCATAAGATTTGTTAATCTTTGTCAACACAAAAAGAAATTGATTTGATTTTTAAATATGATCAACATAGGCGGAGCTAGCAGCTGCACTAAGGGATTACGTTGGACGTGAAACTCCTTTGTACCATGCCCATAATCTCACAGATCATTACAAGAACATCAATGGAGAAGGGCCTGAAATATATCTTAAAAGAGAGGATCTCGGCCATGGAGGATCATACAAGATGAGCAACGTCATTGCACAAGCACTTTTGGCCAAACGAACGGGCCAAAAGAGCGTTATAACAGCTACGAGTGCTGGCAACCATGGTGTTGCAGCTGCTGCTGTGTGTGCTAAGTACTCCTTAGATTGTACTATTTTCATTGGAACCAGATGTTAGGATCGAGACACTTAACACACGACTCTAAACACACACACAGCTCACGAAAAACAAGAACACAAGGATGAACACGAGGGATTTAACGTGGTTCGGTCCTTCTCTGACCTACGTCTACCGGTAACTAGGAGTTTATATTTCTTGGTGCTAATCTGCACTCACTCTTTGTTGCTTATTTTTACAATACAGATGAGACTCATATATAGAGTCTGAAGTAAACAATTGAACAAGAAAAGCAGCCATGAAACATGCATCCGGGAAATATGGATCACCTCTCCTTTTCCACCATTTTGACTTGCTTTTCTTCCATGTTTTCTGCCATGTTTTCTGCCTTTTGACCAGCCCAATGGCTTCACACTCAACAATCTCCCACTTGAAGCCACGAAACAATCTTCACCATAACTTCAACTGTGTATCTGTAATTCTGTAAAAACTTTTGATCTTGACTCCTTCCTAGTTACCCTGGCCTTCTCTTCAATTTACCTGAAGGCTAGTTGAAGCTTCCGTTAGCTCCAACACATCAGTCATGACTAAGTCTGCCACTGACCTATTCTCTGTCTCCACCGGCTCCCACTGAAATGAACTGCCCGATCCTGGAACATCTTGAGAACAAACGACACTCTCCATATGAAGTAGATAATCTGGAGAGACTTTTACAGATGGAATACTGGTTCTCTTAACCCACTGTGTTCTGGGTATTCTAGCTGAAGCACAACCCTTGCTCCCACTGCTATGAATGCCCTTGACTGGTTTTTCTGAACCGTTCCAAACACGTTCAACCTGAATCTGACCTGTGACTCTGGGTTTGCCATCTGCAAAGCAAACCTTCTTCTGTCCACGAGACTCTATGAACCGGATTTTGTTTTTCTTCTGAACTGGGACGGTTACTCCCTCAGATGGTAATCTGACCATATATAATGAACCCTTCTTATGTCCACGAGCTATCACAAGATTTCCTTTGACAACCTTCCACTGCCCATTCCTGAACTTAACCTCGTGTCCCTGTTCATCCAACTGCCCAACATAAATCAATTGTTTCTTCAGACTTGGAATTACCCGGACATCCTTCAAAGTCCATGGACCAACTGGAGTCTTCAAAACTAAGTCACCTATGCTCGTCACATCAAGAACCTCATCGTTCTCCAGTCTTACCTTACCAAAATCTCCTTCTTTTAGATTCTGCAGTGCTTCACGGCTGTGGGTAGCGTGAAATGAAGCACCCGAATCCATAACCCAGGAATCCACATTGCTCTCCACACTACAGATCAAAACATCATCATCTGAATGGTCTACTGCAGCGTTAACTTATTTCTTGTCTTTTGGACATTGATTCCTGAAATGTCCAACCTCTTTACAGTTCCAACAAGTCACATCATTTCGAGTCCTCGACTGACTCCTTCTCCTGTTCCCGCTCCCACTACCTCTGTTATTTTTTCTACCTCTGACCGCATTCAATTGTTCACTTGATGATTCCCCGGAATTTCTTCGTCTGACGTCTTCGCCTAGAATTAAATCCCGAATTCCCTCAAAAGTGAGCTCTTTCGATCCCGAGGAACTAGTAACGGCTGTAACTGTTCCGGACCAACTGTCAGGTAATGATGATAACAGTAGTAAAGCTTGAACTTCGTCCTCAAATTTTATTCCCACTGACCCAAGTCTGGATAAAATCGAGTTCAAATTGTTGATGTGTACTGTAACTGAACTTCCTTCCCTCATCCTCGTGTTGACTAGCTCCCGAATCAGGAAGACTTTATTTGCTGCCGACGGCTTCTCGTACATATTAGACAATGCCTCCATGATTCCCTTTGCCGAGGTCTCCTTCAAAATGTTGAAGGCAACATCCTTTGACAACGTCAGTCTAATAAATGCCTTGGCCTTCTTATCCAAAATCTCCCAGTTTGCCTGTGTTATCGCCTCCGGTTTTTCACCTAAAACTGCGTCCAAGTCTTTCTGCACGAACAAATCTTCAATTTGCATCTTCCACCAACCAAAATCTTTCCCATCAAACTTCTCAATCTGAAGCTTACTGTTTTCTGCCATTTTCTGAAAGATTAGGGGCTAAACTGCAATTTTTCAAATCTGCTACAGTGTTGCTACAGTGCCTGCTGACGTCACTGCTGACGTCGTGCTACAGTGCTTGCTACAGTTCTGTTGACGTCACCGCTGACGTCGTGCTACAGTGCCTGCTACAGTGTCGTCTTCTCCGTTAGAACTCCGGTGCTACAGTGTCGTCTTCTCCGGCGGAACTTCGGTACTACAGTGTCGTCTTCTCCGGCGGAACTTCGGTGCTACAGTGTCGTCTTCTCCGGCGAAACTGGTTTTTTCCGGTAACTATTCCGGCAACCTTTGACCGGCGATTTGGACGTCTTCCGGTGGTCAAAAAATTCAGAAAAAAATATTTTCGGAATCTTCGGAACGAGACCTTTCCAACGGTATACACCAAAATCGTTTTTGACGAAAAAAAATTTCGACCAAAAACTGAAAATCACCTTCTGGAGCTAAAACCTTGCTCTGATACCACTTGTTAGGATCGAGACACTTAACACACGACTCTAAACACACACACAGCTCACGAAAAACAAGAACACAAGGATGAACACGAGGGATTTAACGTGGTTCGGTCCTTCTCTGACCTACGTCTACCGGTAACTAGGAGTTTATATTTCTTGGTGCTAATCTGCACTCACTCTTTGTTGCTTATTTTTACAATACAGATGAGACTCATATATAGAGTCTGAAGTAAACAATTGAACAAGAAAAGCAGCCATGAAACATGCATCCGGGAAATATGGATCACCTCTCCTTTTCCACCATTTTGACTTGCTTTTCTTCCATGTTTTCTGCCATGTTTTCTGCCTTTTGACCAGCCCAATGGCTTCACACTCAACAATCTCCCACTTGAAGCCACGAAACAATCTTCACCATAACTTCAACTGTGTATCTGTAATTCTGTAAAAACTTTTGATCTTGACTCCTTCCTAGTTACCCTGGCCTTCTCTTCAATTTACCTGAAGGCTAGTTGAAGCTTCCGTTAGCTCCAACACATCAGTCATGACTAAGTCTGCCACTGACCTATTCTCTGTCTCCACCGGCTCCCACTGAAATGAACTGCCCGATCCTGGAACATCTTGAGAACAAACGACACTCTCCATATGAAGTAGATAATCTGGAGAGACTTTTACAGATGGAATACTGGTTCTCTTAACCCACTGTGTTCTGGGTATTCTAGCTGAAGCACAACCCTTGCTCCCACTGCTATGAATGCCCTTGACTGGTTTTTCTGAACCGTTCCAAACACGTTCAACCTGAATCTGACCTGTGACTCTGGGTTTGCCATCTGCAAAGCAAACCTTCTTCTGTCCACGAGACTCTATGAACCGGATTTTGTTTTTCTTCTGAACTGGGACGGTTACTCCCTCAGATGGTAATCTGACCATATATAATGAACCCTTCTTATGTCCACGAGCTATCACAAGATTTCCTTTGACAACCTTCCACTGCCCATTCCTGAACTTAACCTCGTGTCCCTGTTCATCCAACTGCCCAACATAAATCAATTGTTTCTTCAGACTTGGAATTACCCGGACATCCTTCAAAGTCCATGGACCAACTGGAGTCTTCAAAACTAAGTCACCTATGCTCGTCACATCAAGAACCTCATCGTTCTCCAGTCTTACCTTACCAAAATCTCCTTCTTTTAGATTCTGCAGTGCTTCACGGCTGTGGGTAGCGTGAAATGAAGCACCCGAATCCATAACCCAGGAATCCACATTGCTCTCCACACTACAGATCAAAACATCATCATCTGAATGGTCTACTGCAGCGTTAACTTATTTCTTGTCTTTTGGACATTGATTCCTGAAATGTCCAACCTCTTTACAGTTCCAACAAGTCACATCATTTCGAGTCCTCGACTGACTCCTTCTCCTGTTCCCGCTCCCACTACCTCTGTTATTTTTTCTACCTCTGACCGCATTCAATTGTTCACTTGATGATTCCCCGGAATTTCTTCGTCTGACGTCTTCGCCTAGAATTAAATCCCGAATTCCCTCAAAAGTGAGCTCTTTCGATCCCGAGGAACTAGTAACGGCTGTAACTGTTCCGGACCAACTGTCAGGTAATGATGATAACAGTAGTAAAGCTTGAACTTCGTCCTCAAATTTTATTCCCACTGACCCAAGTCTGGATAAAATCGAGTTCAAATTGTTGATGTGTACTGTAACTGAACTTCCTTCCCTCATCCTCGTGTTGACTAGCTCCCGAATCAGGAAGACTTTATTTGCTGCCGACGGCTTCTCGTACATATTAGACAATGCCTCCATGATTCCCTTTGCCGAGGTCTCCTTCAAAATGTTGAAGGCAACATCCTTTGACAACGTCAGTCTAATAAATGCCTTGGCCTTCTTATCCAAAATCTCCCAGTTTGCCTGTGTTATCGCCTCCGGTTTTTCACCTAAAACTGCGTCCAAGTCTTTCTGCACGAACAAATCTTCAATTTGCATCTTCCACCAACCAAAATCTTTCCCATCAAACTTCTCAATCTGAAGCTTACTGTTTTCTGCCATTTTCTGAAAGATTAGGGGCTAAACTGCAATTTTTCAAATCTGCTACAGTGTTGCTACAGTGCCTGCTGACGTCACTGCTGACGTCGTGCTACAGTGCTTGCTACAGTTCTGTTGACGTCACCGCTGACGTCGTGCTACAGTGCCTGCTACAGTGTCGTCTTCTCCGTTAGAACTCCGGTGCTACAGTGTCGTCTTCTCCGGCGGAACTTCGGTACTACAGTGTCGTCTTCTCCGGCGGAACTTCGGTGCTACAGTGTCGTCTTCTCCGGCGAAACTGGTTTTTCCGGTAACTATTCCGGCAACCTTTGACCGGCGATTTGGACGTCTTCCGGTGGTCAAAAAATTCAGAAAAAAATATTTTCGGAATCTTCGGAACGAGACCTTTCCAACGGTATACACCAAAATCGTTTTTGACGAAAAAAAATTTCGACCAAAAAC